CACAATCAGTATCATTTGATGGTGAAAGTGCATAGTTAATGCAATGATCAGCTATAGTTGACGACTTTTGCACATGAACTTTATAATCAGTCTTCAGATACATTCGTCCGCGTTTTACATCATCAACGAGTATTTTTTTTGAATCGCTATCCAATGATAAATCATTCAGCATATCAATAAGATTATCAAATGTCAGACTAGTGTTAGCTGTAAAATAGTTCACTCCTTGTAAACTGTGTCTTGTGGACGCTTTACACGAATGCAGTAACGATAAAAGACTTGTACGACCAAGTGGGGAAAATCCGGATTATTTTCAGCAATGTACTCAAAATATTGATCAACAATTCTCGAAGGTATCATATTCCTGATTGTAGTTGGAACATAAAGTTCAACACCAGTCGAAAGACGTAGACGCTGTTCACCAAAAGGCAGATCAGTACAAATATGGGGTGATAGGATAAAGTCTATAAAATGCTCCACCTAAAAATCACTAAATCTTGCCAAGGTCGATGGAGCACATTCAATCTAACATCCAGTTACGTATTCTAAAGCATGACGTCTTGCTCTGTGAAGCGATATAGAGTTAATCCAGGTAAAAACGATTGTATAAGTTTATAGCTTATTTTCGGTGCGATAATCAATAAAATCTCTCTGCGTGTGGTCCACTTCTCTGAGTTTTTATATGCCTTGCTTATACCATCCATTACTGCCAGGAGTTTCCCATCTATCAAACAGGATTCGAATCGTTTTTTGTGTCGAATAGATCACGTTTCACATCAGTAATATCATTAGGAGCAAGAAATAAACGTACGGTTTTAATAACAGATCGAGCGGTAAACAGAAATGTATTTTTCGACTTTTTAGTTAAATTATTATAGTTCATTGTAGACCAAATTTCTCTATCATTGCCAGATAACTGTAGAAATGTTAACAGTGCAGTTTTCTGCTCTTTATATCGACTACGATCAAGGCCGTTGTCTTCGTCGTCTTGTCTTAATATCGGCAAATCCGGCTCCGGTCGGTACTCATCATCCTTCTCACTTTCACTAGATTCATCAATGAATGGTATCATTCCTTTCCATCGTTCAGCACACTCTCTACAAATCCACTCGCCGTAGGAATTGTGTACTTCGGGATAATCCGTATGAATTAATAGAATAAGGCCTAAATCAATTCTACGAAGTCCACTCTTACTCGCTTTAACTTTTGTATGTGGTAATGCTGAAGCAGACGGATCCAAAGAATTGTGAGCAGTTGATACACACGTATAACATTTTTTATTCCTCCTCGGCTCGAATGCCGTTATTAGTTCATCGAAATGCGATACGCAAATACACATGTTATTATAATCTAATTTAGGTGTGATTCGTATGTCACAACGATGCAAGACCGACTCCAGTACCGCGAAGCTGTCAGGAAAGTTAGAGTTTTTCCACCATGCTCCAAAACATTAACATCCGATAGATCATAGTACGCTTCCTGTTCTGCCAATATATGATCGTGGTAGAGACATAGACGTCCTTTGGATGCCATTTTTTAGACAGCCTTTTTTCAGTAGAAGAATACTAGCAAGTATTTTTTTGTTTTTCACAAAATATACTGACTCGAGTGTACTGTCCTTGGAAATGGAACAAGTTAGAATACAGAATAAGGAGAAAGAAAAAAGACATATGGTATTACTGATATTTTGATATTTATCATGCACAGAATAGGAAAGATAACAACGTCAAAATAACACTATATCAAAAAATTCATTTCATTTACTTTTTCTCAGAACGGAACACGCAATCTTGTACATAAACCAGACTTCAAAAAAATAAGAAGGAGTATTGTACGTCCTGTCAGACAGATTGGTCCTATATAGTAACTTAAAAAATGGCAATCAGAGGGCCTATAGGCCACCGGCATGAGTTTAGCACTCATAACCTATGTGGAATGTCTTGTACTTTCATAAGGATACTTGATTTAATATAAAAAGTATGTTTTTTCAAGAAAGATTGATTCTAAAAGAATGATAGTATAATTACTTTGATGGTAATAATTGCAAGCAATTTTTCAACATGTTCGTGAGGTTGTGAAAGAAAGTTTTATAGCTTATTTTGTAGAGAATTGCGCACTCTACAAAACACACTAACTTACATTTTGGTAAAACGTTTCTTAACATCAAGAAAAAATAGTTATTTGATAATAAGGGAAATTGTTCATGGAAAAAAGTTGTCACTTTTATATTTTCAAAAAATAAAAATTCTATCGTCAAATTAACTTTTCCCTTAGATTTGTATGAAAAGCGTGTCAAAAAATGTACAGTGTAAAATTCTGAACTTCTATCCTCTGAGATGAACATTTGTTGATTGAACAACAGATGTTTCGTACAACTGCTTCAAACGTATTTTTAAGAACCTGTGGAAGACAAAGTCATTTTGGGTTAGCGAACATGATCGCTTTCGAATAACCGAATAAAAACCGAAACCAGTGCATGCCTAACTGTAGTCAACTTAGCACATGTAATATATTTAGTGGAAGTGATGTGACAATTTACTTTGTTTTGACTGCCAGAGTAAGGACCGAAAGTAGTGCGAAATTAGTATCTTTAATTGACTGTTCATTTTATAAATGTTGTGTAGGCACTGGAGAATTTATCTGCTTTTGGACAACGTAAAACTTGTGTTTTGAACTGAAAACACCCCATATGACGGCCACGACTTCAGATACAACGACAACTGGAATGGTCGCTGCTGCTCCAAGCACCTTGAGAGCAAAACGAAAATAGTTCAAACGTGCTAAATGAAATGAGCGTACTGCTCCTATTAGATAAAGGTACGTAGTAACTGCTCCAATGTAGCCGACAAGAAACTTAATTATGGGATGGAGGACCAATGGACATAATGGTGTTAACAAGACGTTGGATGTAGTTATCGGTACAGTTATCCATGCATACAAAGGAATCCCTAAAATAATTCGTCTAATTAAGGACAGTTTACCATCATGAACAATAAGGAAAACACCCTGTAACCAACGCTTTCGTTGCTGAATAAAATCGTACAGCGTAAACGGAGATTTTTCCCACATTTCACCTTCGATCCATCCAAATTTATATCCTTTTGTCATTGCCACCATGGCAAAATACATATCCTCTGCAATTGAGCCCTTTATTCCATGATCAAATGTGACGTCTCGTTCGCAATCAGCTTTAATAACGACATAGGACCCCTTGAAAAGGAAAATGGGAGCATGCAACACTTTCAAACAAAATCTCAGTAGCCCTAGATCGATGCCAACACGAATACTATCACCTAATGTTGTTATCCAGTTTACAACATTTTCACTTCCGTAAAGTATTAGTCCTTGCCCGACAGAATATTTTCCATCGTTCACAAAATTCAATATTCCACGAAGACAATTCTCTGTCAGAACAGTTTCTTCATCTATGTGAACAATCCAGTCTTTGTCATTCAACGGATAGTTTTCTGTTGCATAGTGTAAAGCACGAGACTTGAATAATGCTCCTGTACTTGTGCGGTAGCTGTTTGGAACGATAATCTGTTGAACACGCCCATCTTTAATTTTCTCAAAGTCAATCGCTTTATCAGTCACCACTTGCAAGGAGAAGTTTAACAAGCCAAGTTTGTCGCACGTAGCCATATTCCGTTTTACATTCTCACATACCAGTAATGGATAATTTCCTCTAGTAACAACACGGATACAAATACTTGGAGATAACATGGGTGAGTAACGCAATTCGGGTTCTTCATAAATGTCAAAGAGTAATAGCCCGAGAGTATGACATACCACAAGTGGTAATGGTAACAGAGCTAGCAAGCGAACAAAATATAGAATGACTGCTAATGGGAAACCATATTCGGCGATGGGATCGATCATCGTGTCCTCTTCTGATTGAAATATAGGAAGACCATCAGCAAAAATTTCGAAAATGATAATAAATATAAGAAAAACACATACATGAACAACATGAGTTCGTTGAAACTTAAACATGGAAAGCTTTATCCAGACTTTATTCTTGGTTCATATAGTAGACTGGGGGTAACTTCTATCAACTACCGTTTATTCTTTGACTTGTACATCTGTCGTATCCATTCTATAAAAGAAATAACACCATAGATTTTTGAAGATTTTTTAGCATTAGGGAATATTGAATTTTGTACTTCAGTTTCAAATACGAGACTTTTTGTCTCTAAGCTGTGGAGTTGCATTTCTTTTCCGGGATATCGATAACCGATCTCACATAATTCTATAGAAATTCTATGTTACATAGTGGCCAGACTGCATATTCATTGATAAGATTAATGTATGAAGAAATATAAGAATCTTACAAGGTTCCGTAAGAATGTGGCAAGAAAATCATAAAGTTGTAAGAGTTTATGAGATTTTGGTAAATCAAGTGATTTCTGATTTTTCTTTATTGATTCAAAGATTCTGCA